TTAGAGATAATTCATACAGAAAAGCTCTGCCCAAATCACATGGCTTTACTATACATGCAAAAAGGTATCTGCCTCATAAACAGTTCCCATTAGCAACCCTTGAAAAATTGTGCCTAATCAAGTTTTAAAATATTTCTGTTGACAAAAGATGTTATTCAAAGTAATGTCTTTTTTACAGTTGCTACATGTGGACTGATACATTTTGCTGTTTAATCAACTTTGTAATCACTGATTTCAAGTATTATAAATAATAGATAGAGCTGAACGAGACTGTTAACCAAATACATTTTCAACTGCATGTAGATGCATATATTTTCCCTTATTCAGCCAGCGTCACAGACAATTAAGTATGTTTCTGCAAACAACACATTCAGCTAAATCTTTTCAATCATCATTTGCAAATCTCAGTGTTTCAGCTCTCAGTGAAGGAGATGATGTCTCATTTACTTTAGAAGTGCTTGGTGTTTTCACCGGGCAGGTGATATCTTAAAACAGCTCTACTGACCATACGCAGAGAAAAGAGGCTGTGTCTCATCTCCAAGGCTAAGGATTAATATTATTATTAATTTTAGTAGTTATGTTTTAAGGAAAATTAAATATTAAAAGGAAAAATCTTTAGCTATTAAGCTTTAAATACCATCCAAACTATTTCAGACAGCACAGGGTTCCCTCCCCAGGTCAGTGTTTGTAACCTTTTAGGGTATTTTCAAAATAAAAGTTAACCTAAACTGACTCTGTCCATGACAAACTATAAGGTTCTAACCCTATAGGAAAGCCTCTTAAGTTTAGCGGAGAGAATTTGTATGAACTGAGCAACTGGAAGGTGGAAGGTGATAACACAGAAAAACAGCTAGGAAGTGCATAAGGTAAGGATGCTGGTCAGAGATTTGGTAACTGGTGAGTTGAGTTAGTCAGGAGAAGAAAAGGAAAGAAAAGCTCTGTGACGGTAGACCAACAAGCACAAAAGATTAAAAAGATTTACTAAAAAAAAGCAAAGACTTCATGAAAAATCACGACTGGAACAAAACAGAAATGGAAGAGAAGTCTCAAAAATGTTATTCAAGTGAAAGAAAAGAGGTAGAGAAAAAAAGAAAAAGAAAGCAAAATATATAGTCACAGCAGTGTTTATTTTTCTATTTTGAATAAAGTTTGTTTTATTTAACTTTTGACTCTTTGATTTAATGGTGGTTTAGCTCTCTTTAGTTAAAATAGTTATAGATTTCCCTTTTTACTTCCATCCTCTGGACACGAAAAATCCCTCAACGCTTTACAGAAAGAGATACCTACACATGCACACACATAGTTTAAAAGATGACAGGAAGAGTGGGCCAAGACGCTTACATTCAGGCATACTCAGTTTACATATGGAATTAATTATTGTGAACACATGATAATATGATAAATTTAGGAGAACCCTAACACAACACGACAAACAATATGGTGAGACTAAAAAAAATCCTAAAAAAGCATTCTCCGCTAAAGAAAGATTTCTGCTATCAGTGGTCCAACCAGGTTATTTAATGTCTATCACATCACACAGGAATTACTTTTAATCAAACAGATTTTTTTTTAGTCGCTAGTAAGAGAGGATTAGGATGTCTCTCTTGGCATCTAGAAAATGGCTCTCTTTATGCTGTCAATCATTCTTCCTGGCACAGAAGAGGAAGAAAAAGTAAAACACACAAGATCAACATGGTAACTGAATATTAGCTGGGAAGCTGCACCCGAATTCCCCTTTGAGGCTCAGTGCTTCCCTCTCATCTGTCACCTTCAGCACTTTTAAGAGAAACTAACTTACAGCTGGGCATTGACTTATGTTTCATTCTTGCACTGTCCCTGTAATTTTCCACTGTAAAAATGACTGACAGCCTTACCTAGAGTGGGATTTCCTACCTTTTATGCTTATTCTATTTATTTTTTAGCTCTGTTTTTGCTGGCTCCGCTGGGCACTTACACAGTCAACATAAACTAAGCCCACCCATTTGCTATGGGATCCCGCCAAAGGAAAACGTGTTAGTTTGTTTGACTGACTGATAGAAACTGGGTGAAAAAGGGTATGGGAAATTAGAAGTGTGTGGAGAGACGTGATAGAAATTATATGAGTTAAGGAATGAAATACAGATGTTAGGCAGATCTCTTCCAATTCTGTACTACAACACTTGATGAAGATGGCTTCTGCTGCAGTTAAAGGGGTGACAGATTTGATCTACTTAATGGATCAGATCTCAAAATAACCCTAATTCTAATCTCATTCCTTGCCTTGTTTCATAACCCTGCCAAGACACTTCAAGTGCCATTCTCAAAGGCTCCAAATTTGGCCTAACTCATATCCATCCCACTCCTCTAAGAAATTTTTGGATATCTGACTTTGATTTATTTATAACTCATACTCCATTTATGAATAATAGTTCATAATAACACCACCCTTGTGCAATCCTTTACACTTCTTTACCTTTAGCCCAAGCGTAGAGACTATATATGTACTGCACAACACAATAGGTATCTATGTCAGTTGCTACTACTGTACTTACATTACATAATTGTGAACTAAAACCAAAAAAGAATGCAAAATGGATTTGTTCAATGTATATTTTCTTCTAAAAGAACCTAGCCTGTGGGATGCACTGTGGCAGGATATCATTTTGGTAAGTCACTTCACAGATCTCAGAAAGCGCCAGCATCTATACTAGCTAAAATAAAAATCAGTGAGTCATCATAATGAGGACAGGTCAGGATACAATTTTCCAGAATATAAATCTAACTCTGACTTCCCTCTCCCCTGCTACAACCTTGAGGAGAAAGCTCTCTTCCTTAAATGGTATTCCCTGTACCCAGACTGGGCAAGAAACTGCAGCAACAGAAGCCATATGCACAAACACATGAAACAAAAGGGTTTTCTTTAGTTTTCCCTCCTTCCTCCTCAATCTATTGCTTAGTGTGAAACATTAGTAAGAACAGGTAGAACAGAAGTTGTACTTCCACCTGTAAAAATAAATATTTGTATTGTCACTGTGTGCCATACATTAAGGAATAGTTCATCAGATGTTCCTGAAACTTTTACTTTCTCTCTTCATCTTCTCTAATAAAGAGAAAAAAAGAAAGAGGACAGCCTGCAGAGTCACTCTAACACAAAAGCTGAGACACTGCAAGAACTCTTCTCAGAGAATTCAAAGAAAGTTTGATACGTTTCTTTCTTCAGGAGAAGTGGACCAATAGCTATGGTTGTAAGCAAGACACTGAAATGGATGCTTAGAATGAGAACTATTCAAAAAAAAAAATAAAGCTTCAAAAAAGCTTATTCATCACTTAACATGCTAAAAGTTACATGTTTGGTGCGAACCTGTTGCTCAGTCAAATCACACTCATCTCTTTAGATAAGAAAGGGTATCAATTTCTCTTATCCGGTGTTTAGATGAAAGACATGGGATTGAAGAAGAATCAATTGGAATATTTACAAGATCTTCTCAGCAAACATGAGCATATGTGAATCGAGAGGTACATCCAAACTACTGGGAAACTACCCTGGCAGAAGAAAGCCTAGATTAAGGTTGCCCAGGAAAGCACAAAAAGTCCCAAACAGAAGTTGCCAGGAGAACAGAGGCCAAACCAGACGGGAGGACTGACTTACAGGTTAAAGTCAGGAAAAGCAGCTCCAGAAAGGTCTGGGGGAGCCTTCTGGTATGCCAATAGCAACCCCAGATTTAACGATAGCATCCCACTCTTTCAAAAACCTACTAAGAACTTGGGTAAGAATCCCATAGAGGCCCTGTAAACTGAGAAGTTGTTATATTTAGAGTCTAATTTTTCCAATTCATTTCTGTAGAGAATTATGTTCATTAAAATGGTCTGAATTTCCATAACAATGGATTTGTGAATAGAGGAATTCTACCAAAGTCAACAAGGTATCAGTACCTCTTTTTAAATGTCTCCTTTTTGTTTGTGGTGTCATGAAACAAGCTTACTTTCTGAAGGAGACTCTTGTCAGTGTTTCTATCAGAAAAGATGAGAGATGACTCCATTTGACTTAAAAATTGTGTGATATTATTTTTCATACTGGTCTGAGGGAGAACTGGGAAAGCAGGAACTGTTTTATCACAAGAATGATTCAAGCAGCATGAGTGCTCTGAATTGCAGTAATCTCAGCACACTAGACTGGAAAATACATAAGATCTCATCCAACAGGCTACTAGGTGAGAAAGACCACCACTAAATATTAATCTATCATTCTATCCTCACTGCAAATTCCAGCAACAGATCACAAATCCTGAAATTTTGATACTGTTATATCGCCATTTTCATTGGTTTCCAAGAAGTTAGTCAGTTACATGTTAATTGGCAGGTATCTAATACTTCTGAAATGGTTCGTGTGTTTATAGCTTTGCATAATTATCTTCACATTTTGAATAGTAAAAGTGTGATTGGTATGTAATATATTGATGCTTGAATGCCTAATGTATATAGTTATTTGTCCTCTGTATCAGTAAGCCCTTTCTATTATTTTCACTAAGATAGCTCTATAAAGTAAATGAGGAGGAGAGTGATGTTTACGTAAGTGCCTAAAATACAGCACAGTGCAAACTCTGAGACCAAATTTAATTCCCCAAAGTAACTACAAACCCAAACCTGGGCACAGTTTATGATAGGCTGGCTTTGGGGGCTTTCTGAAAAGTCATTTCTCACCCAGTGAATTCCAAGTGTATCTCACCCTTCAGTATTCTGAGGAAAATAATGCCATAAGAAGCATTACCAGTACCACCACCAGGCTGCCCAGGTGCACCTTGGGACAAAAATAACAGCTGGCACTGGAAGTCCTTCAGCACCAAAGTCAGCATAAACTACAGCGTCAGCGAGTTTAGAGCATGTATTACAAACCAGCTCACTTAATAAGGGAAAAAACTCAAAACCACACCAGCTCTCACTTCACCTTAAAGTACCGCCAAGGCTTTTGCAGGTACTGTGTCCACCATACATCCCTAGGAAAGAAATAAGGAACATCTTACCTTGCATCGTTGCTTTTGTGGGTTCTGAAAACAGAGGAATGAGCAGGAGGTAGATGAGGTAGACAAAGGAGAGCCCATTGTAACGGAACGCACAGGCTGCAATGGAGGAAAAGAAAAAAGAGCGTATTGCTAAATCAGCCTGGGATAATCAAATTTAACAGCACAACTCATTTACTGCTTGAGTTTCCTATTTCTTTTAGAAACTTTTCACCAATTATTTAAACCATTTCTACACAAGTATTGAAATTTCTGCTTAGAAAAAATAAAAACAATTAAATAAACCCGTGAAGTATGTTCACAGCAATACATGTTTTAAGTTTAGCACAGAAGATGTATCCAAGCTCCAAAGACTTTGTATAAGATGGACAAGTTAGTTGTTACCTGAACTTTTTACTTTCCTCATCTGTAAACTTACGAAAACATTCCCCACAAAAATATATAGGTATGCATAAATCAGTATTTATGGGCTCTCTGCAAGGAGCTACATGCAAGTTCATTATATTATAGACAAGGATTATCTTTAAATAATGAAGAAAAGTGATGGAATATTTTAAGATTCCAAATTATAGTATCCCCAAAGTCATCTTTAAATAACAATGTCAATTAACTATAGAGCTGTTTGAATTTTACTGTCACCTATTTGTTAACTCCTACAAAGTTCTTGTACTAAAATAATTTTGAACTACAAAGGAAAAGGGCTTGACTGCAACTTGCAACTGGTTTTTCTGAAAAAGGGAACTAACTGTTCTGCTAACTTTGTGTAATATTTCCGGTTCTATTTTATAAATTTAGCCTAAGTGTATTTTCTTGAAAGCATCCAGGTCAGCAGGCCATTATAACAAGCAATAATATTGCAACAACCAATTTGCAAAGAATTGTGTGTGCCTTCTGTGCTGAAAGAGGAGTATGTGAACTTCTTTACTGAAAAAACAAAAGCAACAAAAACTACAAAGTCATCCATCACTCTACTGCACAGCAGATGTTGAAATATTATGAGACCTACCACACTCAACAGTTCCCATGAGATAAGCCAACTGCAGATGAGTCCGGAGATTAATTAATCTCTACATTTATTGACTCATGAAACATAATATCATCAAATCAGTTTTCTCAGCTACGTCCAAAGAGTCTTGGTTTTGGAGGAGGACACAGCCTTAGTTCTGCTGGAAATGTTTTTCCTAAAGAAAACAAGTTTCTCCAACCACCACCTCGTGAAATTTATTGAGACTCTACTGAGCATGCATGAACTAAAATGCATGACTTTAGTCTTAATTGGTCTTCATCCTCATCCCATCTATCCCTTCTAGTTATAAATACAACACTAATTAAAAGGTTTCTTTATTAACAAACAAATCCATGCAATAATTGCAGTTTTTGTGTCAAACCGACCGATGTTCTGAACAATAGGCTCCATTTCTCTAATAGCCCATATAAAAAGACTTTGGACTTAGACTCCATGCGTGCTGCTTTGCTAAGAAATATGTGCTTCTCTAAGGATAAGTCTGGCAAGAATGAAGGACAAGTAACATCTATGCTCTACTCCTAAACTAACATGATTCTGCTGCCAGACTTCAAATAGAACGACCAAAGACTACAAAATCTACCAAAGCTTAACAGAAGCCACTTTGGAGCGAAGACCAGGATGCCAAATAGGCACACGTTTGTCTTTTAAGATTTTAGGCTTAGGCAGGCTGTTTCTATTGCTTAATGCTTAAACTGCCTTTATAGCCACAGCCTCTCAAGGACATCTGAAGAATATTCTGTTCCTCAAAGACACTTGCAAGAAAAAGTAAACAGAACCTATTCCACTGGGAATTTTGTAAAGGTTTATCGCAGCTTTAAAGCTAATGTACTTGAGAACAGGGAGTCAGCCCCGCTATGATGCACATACTCTCAGGGTGCTCTGCAGAGGACGTGCTACAGCTGATTGTGGCCTTCCTAGAATGAATGGCAATATCAAGCTTAAAGAGGACATTCCTGAGATCAGAACAAATCCATAAAGCAACCTTTTTTCAAGTTTAATTTGGAGCAGGGAAAAACTCTTTGACATCCATAGAAAAAGGTTCAATAGTGGCTCAAGCCTTAAAGATCCTTCCACCAGTGGTTCTTAGTCACTCTAGTGGAAGCTTTGCTATTATCCTATTATTACAGGGACCCACTAAATCAGCTTTTAATCATATTAAACAGCTTAGCTGATTTCACTGCAATGTTATACACATACTCTTCTTACAATAAGATTCTTCAGAACGGAGCTTGCTACACTTTTTGCACAGTGCCTAAAACTCAGTTTTCTCCGTGCAAGCTTGAAAAAACAGCAGCTCTATGCTTTAGATATCCTTTTTTTGTCAGCAGTATGTCAATGAAAGCCTTGGTAACAAGTCCACACCAAATATTTACAACTTTTACTTAAATCTAAGCATCCTCCAGCAAACTAATAACCTTGCTCAGACATTGCTTGGAAAACCTGTTTATTTTAGCAGTTACAGGAGCATCAGCAATAAATTTCACAGAATTAATAAATTTTAAAAAGCCACACTTAGCTACAAGGTTAAGTTCAGTCCATTCATGATTTCCATATCTTGTTTTTTGATCTCCATTCATCTAGTACACTCCTCAGAAGAGATTTTATAGACTTAATGTGCCAGAGCAAAAAGCCATGAGCCAATGTATTTTTAGAAGATAAAAGATTTCTAGGAAACAGCAGCTGCAGTGTACTTGTATATTTAGACTGCATTGCAATATTATTTGTCAAATACATTCATTCTTAAGTGCTAATACTCAGAACTGTCAAGAACAAGTAGCTGGACAAAAAATCAGCTTCAGTTTGTTACTGATAAACAACAAAGGAAGATCTGAGAAGGCAATGAACTCCTCCTCTGCACTCTCTTGGCGCTCACAAAGGTCTCATTTTGTAAAGGTAACTTGTAATCAGACATTCATCACAGCATCAAGTCTCATTTGAGGTCAATGAGATTCCATAAACAGAATGAGTAAGCATATAAATAAATTTCTTGGCAAACTGGGTGATATGGTAATTTTTGGATATTTGGGTTATATTGGTTAGTCTGCACACTGATCTGTTGTGTATCAAAATTAATGCAATCTTAGCTTTTTAGTCTTGCTCCCTTTTCTCAAAATTGTCTAATCAATTAGCATAATTATCTTCAGAGCACTTATTCTTGAACTATAGTACCTTGAAATTTGCTGCTTTCTGTTGCTAAACCCGAGAAGATTGTGTTCTCAAAAGCTTTTTTCTCCACAACTATATAAACTGAACCATTGAAAGACATTACTTCTTCATACAAGCCTTCCCTTGCGTATTTTTTCATATACAATGTCCAGCAGAAATATAAAAAAAATTTGGAAGGTGTTTGGTAAACACGAATACTTCCTAAACCAAAAGTATTAATTTCATTAGTATCCAGGAGATCCTTCTGTTTATTACTTTCAGAAACATGGACCTGCCTAAAAAGAACACTAAAGAAAAAGCTTTAGTAGAAAAATGTACCATACATGCACAGCACACGCGTTTGTTTCTTTTGAGGCTTTTCTTTTTAACAACATCTCTCATCATGGTTTCTAACAGCTTCTACTCACAAGACTCTAGAAATACAATTTTCCTCTCTGATGTTCTGCAACTGTTCAGGATCCAGTGATAGCAATAATACAGAACTGTGAAAGGACAGCAAAAATATAGCTATTGATATACCACACATTAGTGTATTAGAAGCAAACTCAGCTTCTTATAATTAGCTACAGTGCTTCAGAGCACCTACTGCGGGGTGGCAAGAAGTGAGTGCTTTGTAACACACATAACTGACTCCTCCATTCATGAGCGATTATTTGAAAGAATTCTGATTGAATGCATAACATGGTGAAAAATATTATCTTTAAATAAAAAGATTAGAAAGTCATCCAAAATGATTATGACAACTTCATAAACCTTCATCCCATAGTGACTGGGAAAAAAAACAGCGGAAAAAATAACATACAGATATTTAAAATTTTCTTAGAAGACTGACAATGTGCCAGTTATTTGTAACAAAAAATGACAGATGAAGAATATCTCATCTTTCTGACATCGAGTCATTTGTTCAAACAGATAAAACATTACAGTCACAGATAAATGATACTTATCTGTTTAACAGTCTCCATAAATGTATTCATAACTCATTAATCTTGCTATATGTAACCACATATTGTAAATATACATGTGCACAAATAAAGAAAAAATCTGAGAGCAATGGAGACCAGAAATCAGCTCTGAACACTTAATCTTGCAACAGATAACATATTTTAAAATATTTTTACGAGTTCTGTTAAGAAGTGAATGTAGTGATTACCTTAAACAGGTAAAAGTACTGAGGTAAGAGGGGTCACTTGATTATAATACAAAATGCTTCCAATTATGCTAGAATCACTAGAGCAAAAATTTGTTTGCAAAGCACTGAAAAAGTCCACAATGCTGAGTAACATTATTAACATAATGATCTATAATTTCTATTAGATAAAGCTAACACTGATACTCTTTTGATACTCTTAAGAACAATTCCTTAGATAGCCTTACACAGGAATTAATAATTGAATTCTTCTCTCTCTTCCTGAAATTAAGAACTGACATTACACAAGGGAACTTACAGATTGTTAGCGTTTTAAGTGCTGCTCACATATTTCTTGACATAGATGATAAAAACAGTCAATGTTTCAGCACCAAAAGGGAACATTCATTATTGCATGTCGCTTTCTCCTAAATAAAAATATTTTATGGGAACACATGCATTTCACTGATCTCACTAAGTCATTGTTTAAACTTCTGTGAAGAAGACATACTCGCAAGTGAGATAACTTTTAAAAATGTTTCTTTCTTTTCTTCTATTAGGTAATACATTTTTTTGGTCCCTATTTTAATTATTCCTACAAATACTAATATTTAAAATATTTCTTCCTCAACTCCCCAAAGTGCAGTATATACATGTGCTGTACATAGGCATTCAAAGGAAAGGGACACCCTGACAGCCCACAGTTTATGGTTTGTTAAGGATAACAGTTGCTCAAACTATTTTAGTTTTCAATCGTGCCTTTAACAGAGAATTATA